GACCTCTGCAGTCAGTCCCCCAGTGACCTTGCCATCTATGACATTGGAATGCCTTCGTACACTGAATGGCTCCCAAACTGCTCTTGCCAGCCTGACCTCTCCCTGTACTGGGGAATGATCTGCCAGCTGCCCACTCAACACTTCCACTCGGGCATTGACTTGGAATCTTTATGTGTCCGATGTTGACCTTCATGCATCCATGCCATCTGCAGTCCTTTTATCTTTGTGGTGGCACCTCTCCGTTTCCCAGTGCCAGCTCAAAGATCCTAGCATCTTCTCTGCCTCCTTTCTTTGCCTACCTTACACCTAATCTGTCTGCAAATTTTGGTGTTGCTGCTTTTAAAGTATATCCACTTCATCTGCTCCCACTGTGGTCCTAACCACCATCATCTTTCACCTGGTTGACTGCAACAGATAACCCCAAGTGGGCTGCTGCCTGTGATCCGTGTACAGGATCCTGGACCCCCTCTGCTCAAACCCCTCTGTGGCCCATCTCACTTGGGATCCGAGCCAGCGGACTTACAGGGGCCTGCAGGCCAGCCGCAGTGTGCACCTGCTCCCTCCTCAGCCTCGGCTCCTCTTTCGCCTGCGCAGTTCTCAGGGCACGCCAGCCTCTTGCCGGCCCCTGTGCTTCCCCCACCTGGAGTGTCCCTCACCTGATACCCTGCTTCAAGTCTTTGCTGTCTCTGCCCTTACTGTTTACACAACCCTCCCACTTCCTACTCCTTCTGTTATATAATTTGTGTATTTATTCTCGCTTCCTCCCACTAGAATATATAGTTCATAAGGGCAGGAATTGTTTCTTGTTGATGTGTCACCAGTGCCTACAGCAGTGTCTGGCACATAGTAGGCACTCATCAAATATTTGTGGAATAAATAATGAATTTAAGAAAATTTCGGTGATATTTAACATAAGATAACATTCCATTTGCAGTGTATCTCTGAGAAAGGTGATAGAGTTACTATTAGCACTTTTCCCTGATTAAATTGACATGTTTGTGAATGAATATTACTTTATGCTAGAAAGAAGGGCTCAATACCAGTTTTCTTCCAGCAGTTTGTCTTTACAGATGCTAACACTCAGCACTGCTTGTTTACCAAACAAGTAGACAAGCATGGAAGGTGTTTTGTCATGGCGGTTCCATTTTGTCCTTAGAAGGCCAAAAGTCATATAAAGTATTTTCATAATCTTTCAACTGACTACTAGATTAGGTTCTTTCTTCTATTTTGTTTAAAGCAGAGAATTAGAAGCCACCTGACTCGGAAAAGGCTTTGTCACTCAGTTGCTGGAGCCCCTTCCCTTCAGTTCCTGAGGTGTGCACCAAAACCACCTTAGCAGCCCTGTCAGTTAACCACAGGGATACCTGCCTCTCCTCACTCCAGAGCAGCGTTGCAGGCTTGTGCCCGAAATGTTCAGGAATAGTTGAGAAAAATTGCAGTATTATTAATCTGACCATACCCTTACCAATACAATATTGTAAAAATCTTATCACATTCTTTATATTTTCACCCAAAGCTTGGCTAAAGCTGCAGATTCAGCTCATTCAGTTTATCAGACATATCTGCTATGTACATTCATTGTCACACCAGTCAGCCAAATCAGACTCACTTTCTCTCTGGAAAAGTCTTATTTCACTTTCGTTTCTAATCATATGCCTCTGACAGCCATCTCACTTCTGAGTTCTGTGATAGTTCCTAGTTGGATAGGTGAGGCGCGGAGCTGGTCCCTGGTGGAGGAAGGTGCCACAGCTGTTGTTCACTGGCACCCTCTTTGCTTGCCTCTAGGGAAAAGCACAACCCTACCCTAACGCCTCGCTTCAGGGAGGCTTTACTGTTACCAGTGCATCCCCCAGTTTCGTCCCTGGGGATGCGGCCCGGCCTTGGGGTAGTGCATCCTAGGAAGAGGAGAGCTGAGAGGTGGCCTTCTTTTACAGGTGGGAGAAGGGTGTGAGGGGAGGCGGGGAGGGAGAGCTGGTGGGACTACTTATACGTAGCTCAGGGACATTGTCTGTGGATTTGTTCTAGGATATTGGCCATCTAGAATCTAGAAATGGATTCTGTCAAAGTGATTTGTGCCCATATACCCCTTGTGAAGGTTTGCTTTCCCAGGGTTACCTGTAACCTTCTTGAAGACACTGTTGTGTGGGTCCTTGAAGACAGGAGGGAGTGAGCGCCAAAGCGCAAGGGAGAGAAGGAGAAGTCCTCTGATTGTAATGTGCGGTGGGGGCCAGGCTGGCCAATTGAGAGCTGAGTGCCAGAAACTTTCCCCTGCTACATTTCATTTTTGTGTGTTAAAACCCAGTTATCTGAGAAGCAGAAGGCTTTCAGCCCCAGCAGCCATGGAGGATGGTACCATAGACTAGGCCTGTCTGGACTCGTACTCTGTTCTGGTACATGGTGCACACTGCGGTCACAGACACACTAAAGGAGCCCTCTGCCTGCCTGCTCTGGAGGTGAGCAGGCCTCCCCCCCCCCCCCGGCAAGGCACCCTGCAGAGCCAGGTGCAGAAGGTGATTTGGAGAGAGCTCCTCCCCTGGGGTCAGCGTTGAGGAAACCTAGTGAACAGGCCGTGTTCTTGGATTTCACCTCTGTCAGTCTGCTCCCTGGCTGCCTTTTTGTTGTTGGGCTGTGGAATCTCTGGGCAAATTCAATACTAAATAAGCAGACTTGATACTGTCTAAAAGCTGTGCAGCTTTAAGGATAGAAAAAGAAGGACTGACTCGGGAGCAGATGATTTTCTTAAGAGAGAAGAGAAAATAATTAGAACAGTGTATTCTCAGTTTCCAATAAGTTAAATGAGAATGAGGTATAATCCTAATAATTATTAAATGAGAACTTGGACAGAGAAAGCACCATGAAATCCAGAACCGTATTAGACCAAATAACATCTCTGAAACTGGTAGGTAGTAGAGTTGACACCACGTAATCAGTGAAATGGAAAGCCGGCTAGAGAGAACGCAGCACGGCAGGATGGAACAGCAGAGCACGGCCATGAGGATAGACGTGGGTGTGACGGGACTGGGGGGCGTTCCTGAGCACACGGGCAGAGCAGGCGCAGCAGCGTCGGGAAGCTGCGATAACAGCTCGTAGAGTGGACTGTGCGGTTTGCAAAGCTGGGCCTAACACTGCATTTCTGTGCAACGGTGGTCAAGATCCAAGCATGTGTAAGAGACCAACGTCCACAGAGCCTTTGGTGAACAAGGTG